AGGTGATTCTTTAACAATATTAAAAAAAAATAAATAAGCCATAGAAAATTATGAGCTAGCAATTAAATATTGTAAAAGTGACGAGAATGAATTCAAAAGAAGAATTTAGTAAATAAAAAATAACAAATGAATATTTAAAGATTTATCATTAATCAACATTAATTAGTCTTCCTACTGAATTTTGATTCATTAATATCTATATAAGTAAAATCTGATTCAATTTTTTATATTTGCAAGAGTTATTCTCTCTTTTGAATCTGAATTTTTTTTATTTTTTTCTGTGAGTAATTAATTTATATTAGTATATTTTATTTATATTTATCTAAAAATAAATCTTAATTAACAATAATTAGAAGGTTTAGTATCATTAAATATAAGTATAAATTAAAAATGTAATTAATTATGATAACTATCTTGTTTAACTTAATTACCAGAAATAAAAGTGAATAAAAATTAAAAATAGAGCTTCTTACTATAGTTTTTGGAAATTAGTTGATATATTTTGTATTAAGATTTATTTTTAAATAAGTGAATGTATTTATTAGCAAAAATAATTATATTTAATTGCATTTTATAACTCTTTCCCTTTTATTTTTCATCCTCTGTTATTAAGAACTCTATGCATTTTTGTTGAAAATTTCCCCTATGATGATTATAATGTAGGTTTATTTAATTCATTGATAGAAAGCAATAATTTTCTGTTTTTATAATTTACTGATTCATATTGTTTAGTTTTTTACAATATGCATTTATATCAGAATGAATTTGATTTTAATTGATTACATCCTCACATCCTGAATTTAATATTTTATTTTTAAATGAGATCCTTATTATAATTTCTCTTTTAAATAATTTACTTAGTCAAGTTTAAATTGAGATATTTACTTTTTTGCAAATTTTTTCTACTTTAAAATTATGAGTAGAACTAATTCCATTTCTTTATTCTTTCTCGCGCTAATTATTTAATTTTAACCAATATGGAGGTAAAAAATATAAACAAAAGGAATTCCAAGATTTAGCAACACTTATCAGAAGAGGGAGATAAAAATATAATATTTTCTCCAACATCATTACCAAAAATTTATAATAACCTATTCATAATTTAAATTTAATCTAGGCTAAATTGATTTTGGTTTAATCTCATTATGGAAACTTTTTCGTTAGATGTAATTTTCTGAATAATTTAATTATGATAATTCATAATTTAATTTTAATTTACCTTTCAATCAATGATTCTAAATCTCTTAATTAGTCTGTTATACTCTATAAAATAAATAAATCTAAATTTTATCCTTTTGTGTCTCCACAATTTACCTTAAATTGGGTTTGAAATATTATCCTTCTATATAATAACTTAGCACTCCTAAAATGTTATTAAATTCCGAATTTATGTAAAATCAGATTCACCAGTTTCATTAACTAAACAAAACCTATAAGGAAGATCAAATTAAACACCAATATATAATTAAAAAAAGAAATTTATTAGAGTTGATTTACCCACTTAGTTTCACCAAAAATCGCTGTTGTCTTAGAAGTATTAAAATGGTTAAATAAAATATTTCTAGAAGATAATATGTTTTTTCTTGCCATCTTGTATTTAATAGGATATGTTTGTTAGATTTGAATTTAAAAATTTGAACCTAGAAATCTATTTTGGTTTATTTCTTATTTTTAAGATGCATTAGAAATCAAAAATCATGGAGTCATAAATAACTTATTGCATTATGTAGATTTAATTTGTTTTTTATTAAATGTTTTAACTTAAATCGAAAATTCCATCATACATTTTAATTTTGTGAGTTTAATACGCAATTAGATTTTCAAAATGTTGCAAATTGTTTTATTTTAAGGTTTCTTTCACCATTCTTAAAATTTATTAAAATGATACTCAATTACATATTCTTTCTTTATACATGATAAATTATGACAATAGATTATTCTATTTTTTTACATTTCCATGCTATATTCACAATATAATTATTATTAACGCCAAGTTCATCTTGTAATATTCTAATTAATTCATCTATATTAATATCCTTTTTTAATCAATACAACTAAGAATTTTTTTAATTAATTTTTAAAATGATTAAATTCGCCTATTAATATTAAAAAGTTATCATAATAAACTTTATTTATTAACATTAATAGGCAATCTGATTTATAATCATCATTTTAGCCTAAAAAATCATATTTTAGTTAAAAGAGGAGAAACAAATTAAAAAAAATAATTATGAGATTATTGGTTTTCTTTAAAAAATAATTTGATGAGATGATTTCTTGATATCAAAGTTAATAAATTAGATGATTTGTTGAAACATTCACTATATATTTCATAGATTAATATGTCATAAACCTTTTTATTTTATATCTCCTTTTCTGTATTATATAATTTAACTATGTATAATTTATTTTCTCATTTCCTTAATACTATGATTGGGAACTTATACTTAATTATCCAAAAGATTTTAATTACTTGCTCAATCATATTGTGATAAATATTGATATTATGAAAGATGGAGTTTTTTTTAACTTCTGCTGCTGAATACTAGATAGTACCTCATTTTAATTGCCTAAGAAAGTTTTTCATTAATGGAATTTATGATTAATCTATTGTTATTATGTATTGAAAATAACTGAAAAATGGTAGTCATTGAATGTGATTTCATATAAGCCAAAAAAGGATTATATGGATAGAGAGATAAGAGTAGTTCTAAAGCGAACTTGATAGGTTTGAGTAAATATGATATAGATTTTTAATAATGCTTTTTTGTATTATATTTCAAATAACAGAATTAATATTGTCTTTTCTAATTTAAAAAATATAGAAATATAGTAATGAGAATCATTATATTATAAAATGAATTATCCATCAAAGAAATCTGTGTTGAGACTTTATGTTTTGATAAAATAAATTTGCTCTGTTCAATCATATCTTATTAAAATCTGACCCTCATATTTTATTATGACAAAAAAAATTTTTAGTTTCATACTTTATTATAGCGTATTTAAAAACTACTTACCATATAAATTAGTTATTTTTCAATAGCAAATTGTCGGTAGAATTAATTGATTTAATGGAAATTGAAATAGATTTTTTCTTACATTTCCTCATCCAACTAGTACCTCTTTTCTTTATAGAATTGTAAACTTTAGAATGAATCTTGAAAATTATTAAATTTGATATTAAGAAAAACAACCAATAATTTAATAATTTAGTTTTTTTTAAAATTGTCAATTATTTTACTATTTATTGCTCTCAAATTTAAGAAGCTTAAAGAATTGTTTTTATTTTATAACATGAAGTTTTCCTGCTGGATTGACCGAAGATAATTTTATTGCTTATATATTTTATCTTCAAGTTTAGATCTTCAAATTTTCTGAAATTCTAAACTTTCTAAACGATCTTTTTCCAGTAATAGTATACTCTTGACTGTTATTTTTAGTGATTTAAGGTCAATGGGTGTAGATAGATTTATTAATCTGTTCAAAACATGATATAGGAATAATTTAAATAAATTTCAAACTGATGAATTAAAGCCTCCTAACTTTCACTATTGAGTTTTGGACTTAAATAAATAATAACCGCTTATAATTGCATGTAGAAAATTTTTACTTTTTAATATTATTTTAATAAGTTAAGTAATTAATCTTCAATTATCAAAAGTATTAGTTCATTCAAAAGAAAATACCTTCTTAATTTATATTAAGATTAATTGATTTATAAAATTGGTGAGATTAAATTTTGACATAGAGTAATTCTTAAAGGATGCTTCTCTTATCAATCTATTAGCTGAGACTTGATTTCTATTTTTTAAATTTCATTTATTTTTTACCAAGCATCAAAATATCATTCCTTTACCAATATCAATAAATTAACAAGAAACCATTTTGATTGATAAACTATAAGCGTAGGTGTGTCTTTTGTTGTTATATCTGATAAAGGAAAAACTATAATCCTATTATAATAAGATTTAATTTTCATATTTTTTTGGTATTCTATTTCGTTGTAGATTTGAAAGGAGCATAAAAACTTTTATTTTTATTTTAGAATACTGCAGAGAATATTACTATAATTAAAGAAATTCTTTTTAATAAACCAAAATGAGAAATTAATAAATCATTCTTACCATTATATAAAAATATGATAACTATTTGATTGCTAATTGAATTATCATAAGAAATGATTTTGATGAGTTAAAACTAAATTTTTCAATCAATGCTAATACGATATCTAAAATACTTTTTTTAAATTTAGTTAAACGAATTCTCGATAACCTAAATTGTAATGAATTTTATGCTTGTTATTCTGTTCTAATAAAAAGCCTAAGAAATTAAAATATCAATATAAAAATGGGCAAATATTAAAATATATTACAATTTAATAATCTAGCCTATTTTACTGATTAATAAACTATACACTTAAAATTAAACTAATTTCAAAAGTGAAGCAAATAAGAATGAAAAAAATTAATTTAAAATAGGCATGGATTACTTATTAAAAAAAAACAAACAAAATTATAACTTCTTTAAAAACCTTAATTATAATTATTTTTACTAATAAATAGATTCACTTATTTAAAAATTAATCTTAATACAAAATATATCATTTAATTTCCAAAAGGTATAGTAAAACACTCTAATTTTAATATTTATTCAAAATTAGTATTTTTATAATTTTTAATTATTCCATTATTTCTGGTAATTAAGTTAAACAAGATGGTTATCATAATTTAATTACATTTCTAATTTATACTTAAATTTAATGATACTAAACCTTCTATTTATTCTTAATTCAGATATCTTTTTTAATAAATATAAATAAAATATACTAATATAAATTAATTACTCACAGAAAAAAATAAAAAAAATTCAGATTCAAAAGAGAGAATAACTCTTGCAAATATAAAAAATTGAATCAGATTTTACTTATATAGATATTAATGAATCAAAATTCAGTAGGAAGACTAATTAATGTTGATTAATGATAAATCTTTAAATATTCATTTGTTATTTTTTATTTACTAAATTCTTCTTTTGAATTCATTCTCGTCACTTTTACAATATTTAATTGCTAGCTCATAATTTTCTATGGCTTATTTATTTTTTTTTAATATTGTTAAAGAATCACCTATTTCTATTAAAACAATAAATACCTTTATTCTTATAGGTAATTGCATAATTCGGATCTATTGAGATTGCTTTATCATAGCAACTAATTGCATCTTCATATTTCTTAAGGTTTTGTAAAGAATCACCTATTGGAATATCAACAATAAATACCCTTATTATTATAGGCATTTGCAAAATTTGGATCTATTTATATTGCTTTATCATAGCAACTAATTGCATCTTCATATTTCTTAAGGTTTTGTAAAGAAGCACCTATTGGAATATTAACAATAAATACCCTTGTTATTATAGGCAATTGCAAAATTTGGATCTATTGAGATTGCTTTATCATAGCAACTAATTGCATCTTCATATATCTTAAGGTTTTGTAAAGAAACACCTATTGGAATATAAACAGTGCAAGTACCTTTATTTGTAAAACCTATACNTACAAGATGGCAAGAAAAAACATATTATCTTCTAGAAATATTTTATTTAACCATTTTAATACTTCTAAGACAACAGCGATTTTTGGTGAAACTAAGTGGGTAAATCAACTCTAATAAATTTCTTTTTTTAATTATATATTGGTGTTTAATTTGATCTTCCTTATAGGTTTTGTTTAGTTAATGAAACTGGTGAATCTGATTTTACATAAATTCGGAATTTAATAACATTTTAGGAGTGCTAAGTTATTATATAGAAGGATAATATTTCAAACCCAATTTAAGGTAAATTGTGGAGACACAAAAGGATAAAATTTAGATTTATTTATTTTATAGAGTATAACAGACTAATTAAGAGATTTAGAATCATTGATTGAAAGGTAAATTAAAATTAAATTATGAATTATCATAATTAAATTATTCAGAAAATTACATCTAACGAAAAAGTTTCCATAATGAGATTAAACCAAAATCAATTTAGCCTAGATTAAATTTAAATTATGAATAGGTTATTATAAATTTTTGGTAATGATGTTGGAGAAAATATTATATTTTTATCTCCCTCTTCTGATAAGTGTTGCTAAATCTTGGAATTCCTTTTGTTTATATTTTTTACCTCCATATTGGTTAAAATTAAATAATTAGCGCGAGAAAGAATAAAGAAATGGAATTAGTTCTACTCATAATTTTAAAGTAGAAAAAATTTGCAAAAAAGTAAATATCTCAATTTAAACTTGACTAAGTAAATTATTTAAAAGAGAAATTATAATAAGGATCTCATTTAAAAATAAAATATTAAATTCAGGATGTGAGGATGTAATCAATTAAAATCAAATTCATTCTGATATAAATGCATATTGTAAAAAACTAAACAATATGAATCAGTAAATTATAAAAACAGAAAATTATTGCTTTCTATCAATGAATTAAATAAACCTACATTATAATCATCATAGGGGAAATTTTCAACAAAAATGCATAGAGTTCTTAATAACAGAGGATGAAAAATAAAAGGGAAAGAGTTATAAAATGCAATTAAATATAATTATTTTTGCTAATAAATACATTCACTTATTTAAAAATAAATCTTAATACAAAATATATCAACTAATTTCCAAAAACTATAGTAAGAAGCTCTATTTTTAATTTTTATTCACTTTTATTTCTGGTAATTAAGTTAAACAAGATAGTTATCATAATTAATTACATTTTTAATTTATACTTATATTTAATGATACTAAACCTTCTAATTATTGTTAATTAAGATTTATTTTTAGATAAATATAAATAAAATATACTAATATAAATTAATTACTCACAGAAAAAAATAAAAAAAATTCAGATTCAAAAGAGAGAATAACTCTTGCAAATATAAAAAATTGAATCAGATTTTACTTATATAGATATTAATGAATCAAAATTCAGTAGGAAGACTAATTAATGTTGATTAATGATAAATCTTTAAATATTCATTTGTTATTTTTTATTTACTAAATTCTTCTTTTGAATTCATTCTCGTCACTTTTACAATATTTAATTGCTAGCTCATAATTTTCTATGGCTTATTTATTTTTTTTTAATATTGTTAAAGAATCACCTATTTCTATTAAAACAATAAATACCTTTATTCTTATAGGTAATTGCATAATTCGGATCTATTGAGATTGCTTTATCATAGCAACTAATTGCATCTTCATATTTCTTAAGGTTTTGTAAAGAATCACCTATTGGAATATCAACAATAAATACCCTTATTATTATAGGCATTTGCAAAATTTGGATCTATTTATATTGCTTTATCATAGCAACTAATTGCATCTTCATATTTCTTAAGGTTTTGTAAAGAAGCACCTATTGGAATATTAACAATAAATACCCTTGTTATTATAGGCAATTGCAAAATTTGGATCTATTGAGATTGCTTTATCATAGCAACTAATTGCATCTTCATATATCTTAAGGTTTTGTAAAGAAACACCTATTGGAATATAAACAGTGCAAGTACCTTTATTTGTAAAACCTATACTATAGTTTGAATTGCTTATGAGGGCTTTGTCAATGCATTAAATAGCCTATTCATATTCTTTCAAGTCAAATAAAGAAAAACCTACTTTGAAACTAAATGAATACATTTTCTATATAAAGCATGAATATTTTAGGGATCCTCCTGCAAAACCTTGTCACATTATTCAATTGCTAATTGAAATTGTTTCTCATCATTTAATGCATAACCTATTGAAGATATTTGATTAACTTTTTGCAATTAAAATGAAAGCATTTTATGGATTTTACTTAAGTTCTTAATCTGAATAATCCAATAAATCTTTAAACAAATTACTATTAATCTTTTTCGCTTAATCTCTCATATTTATTCCTATTCCTGTTTAATTCATTTCTATTAAAGAAATACCTAAATTATTTGATGAATTTGAAAAGTACTTTAAAAGAATTTTGCAAATGATAATTGTTTCTCCAAATCTTTTATATTGTTTATTAAAAATTCATTAGCTTATTACCATTTTTATTAATTAAGTAATTATAATCCTAATTTAATAAAAAAAATAAATACCTTACTAGAGTATGTTTTAATGATCTATATATTGAGTTTATTATTATATTTTATTTAAATCCCAAGCTTCAATCATTTGTTTAATATTAATTAATTGTGTTCCTAAAAATATTACAATTATAAAAATACCAATTTAATTCTACTTCTTAATCTCCTCTTAATTATTTAAATATTGGTAGGCCTCCTTAATTAATTATAAATTTTCTTTCAATTAATTATAATCTTATTAATTTAAATATTGAGATATCTTAAGTAATTATAGTTTCATTTTCTCTAATTATTTTGAAAATTCTTCATATTTCTGTTTGACTTATGTAAATGATTTATCCAATTAGGTTGTTAAATCAAGTATATTCTAATTGAATTTCGTAATAAAACTAGAAATTTAACCAAATCCTTTTAAGTCCTTCTTGCAATTAGAATGTTTTATAGGATCAACACCACATTAGAGACAGAACTAAGGTTTTGAATCTTAGCATCCCAAATTTAAGCAAAATCCTTAAATATCTTCTCCTTCGTGTTCAATATCTTAACACGTAAACTATTTCTATTATTACATTAAATAAATTATGTTTCATTATTTTATTTTTAATTTGATTAAATATATATTTAACAGAAAATTAATCAGATTTAATTAAATAAATATTTTTAAATGTTTAGTATTATTAATTTTTCAATAATAATTTAAAATTATTCATAAAACTATGTATTGATTTAAAATGTTGTTTATAACGTATTCTATATTTATGTATTGATTAATCTTCGGTAAAAGATATTATAATCTTTTTCATTTCCCTTTTTATTTGATATTTTAGCTTTATTAATATGATTGAATTTTTGCATCATTTATTTATGGTACCTTATTAATTAATAATATTAAATGACCAATAACCTTTATTTCTCTAAATAATGATATGAAAAGTATTCATATACTCTGGATTGATGATAAATCCGTATTTTTTAATTCTTATTTTGAAAAGAATTATTATCTAAACTTTAAAGTAAATAATAAATTTNTAATTCATTTCTATTAAAGAAATACCTAAATTATTTGATGAATTTGAAAAGTACTTTAAAAGAATTTTGCAAATGATAATTGTTTCTCCAAATCTTTTATATTGTTTATTAAAAATTCATTAGCTTATTACCATTTTTATTAATTAAGTAATTATAATCCTAATTTAATAAAAAAAATAAATACCTTACTAGAGTATGTTTTAATGATCTATATATTGAGTTTATTATTATATTTTATTTAAATCCCAAGCTTCAATCATTTGTTTAATATTAATTAATTGTGTTCCTAAAAATATTACAATTATAAAAATACCAATTTAATTCTACTTCTTAATCTCCTCTTAATTATTTAAATATTGGTAGGCCTCCTTAATTAATTATAAATTTTCTTTCAATTAATTATAATCTTATTAATTTAAATATTGAGATATCTTAAGTAATTATAGTTTCATTTTCTCTAATTATTTTGAAAATTCTTCATATTTCTGTTTGACTTATGTAAATGATTTATCCAATTAGGTTGTTAAATCAAGTATATTCTAATTGAATTTCGTAATAAAACTAGAAATTTAACCAAATCCTTTTAAGTCCTTCTTGCAATTAGAATGTTTTATAGGATCAACACCACATTAGAGACAGAACTAAGGTTTTGAATCTTAGCATCCCAAATTTAAGCAAAATCCTTAAATATCTTCTCCTTCGTGTTCAATATCTTAACACGTAAACTATTTCTATTATTACATTAAATAAATTATGTTTCATTATTTTATTTTTAATTTGATTAAATATATATTTAACAGAAAATTAATCAGATTTAATTAAATAAATATTTTTAAATGTTTAGTATTATTAATTTTTCAATAATAATTTAAAATTATTCATAAAACTATGTATTGATTTAAAATGTTGTTTATAACGTATTCTATATTTATGTATTGATTAATCTTCGGTAAAAGATATTATAATCTTTTTCATTTCCCTTTTTATTTGATATTTTAGCTTTATTAATATGATTGAATTTTTGCATCATTTATTTATGGTACCTTATTAATTAATAATATTAAATGACCAATAACCTTTATTTCTCTAAATAATGATATGAAAAGTATTCATATACTCTGGATTGATGATAAATCCGTATTTTTTAATTCTTATTTTGAAAAGAATTATTATCTAAACTTTAAAGTAAATAATAAATTTCAATTTATATACTTTCATATTTTGTAAAGAAAATCAAAAACATAAGTCTATAGTTATAAATTCTCTGCTTCAAAAGTATCTCGAACTAATAAACTATTATTTCTAGTTTATCTACTCAATATATTTATCTTGCTTTTACCATATAAATTTCCTTATGGCTACATATCTTTAGATGATTTGCCTGAATCAAAAAATAATTAATTGAAATTTATCATAAAGATTGATTTTCACAACAAAAATTATGATATCGTTTGCTCAAAATTTAAATTAATTTGATTTTCAATTTTGTTAACTATGGATATTTTCCTTAATCAAAATATCAAATTGTTACGCAATTTTGTTTTTATAATGAATGATGAGTACTCCTTTAATTCTAATATCATTATAGGAGTACTCTTTGTAACCAGCCATAATCGCTTGAGAAATAACTTAGTAAAGATGAACAGAAAGAATTCTATAAAAATACTTTTGCTGGATGGTGGAACAGGGAGAGATAAATAATTTAAATGGAAAAGAAAAGATAGGATATACCGATTTAGGGAAGTTTCTAAATATTGGATTAAATTAGTTACTGATTGATGAGATGATTTTAGAGAAGATAAACATTTAATTAGAAATGGATTATGCAAAAATTAAGAATGAAGTGGGGAGTTAAAAGTCAAATTCCTGGATATGGTATGTAGATCTTTACAAATAATATATTCAATTTTTTTAGGATAAACTTAATAGAAAGACAACAGGTAGAAGGATAATATATCATCAAAAGGAGAATTTTTAAGTTAATTTTAATTATAATTAAATCTAGGAGAATCTTAAGAAATTTTGAACAAAAGAATTCAGATCAATCAGTTGCCTATATGATTGAGATTAGGAGGCAGAACGATATAAAGATAATATAAGACATTTCATAAACTTAAATAATGTTTCAATTAATAATGGAGAAATCTGCTCAGTCAATCATTTGATAAAACTTTATTTAATAAGTATTAAAAGCCACCAAATGAAATTTATAATTGCCAAAATTTAGGTAAATCGTAAAAAAGATAGACCCTTATTATGTTGGGCTTTATATAAAAAATCAGAGCTTCAATTTTGTTGGAAAGACAAATTAGGAGATTAAAGAAATAATATATTAGTATATAGGGCATCTTGTTGATATGTTTAAACTACCTTATAAGGACATTTCCTTCTAATAAAATATAGAAATAAATTATAATGGAAGAAGAATTACATCCTTTTTTATGTGTGTAATAAACTTTTTATTTATATAAAATTGATGTTCTTAGCCCATAACTTTTTGTTAATATAAATATTAACAATTAGAAAAAAAATGGAAAGCTATTTTATGCCATGCTAATAACGTAATGATAGCTAAAGTAATAATGGATGTTTTGAAAAATAAAATCTCTTTATTAGTACTAAGAAAATATTTTTTAACTCATAGAAATTTAAAAGGTTAAGGATTTTATTAAATACATTAGTGATGGAAATTAGAATGAGAGCGAGATAGAATAATATATACTTGTCCTTGATTAAAAAATCATTCTCTATGGTTTGAGGTTAAAATAGGATCAGAAAATATAAATATCCTCATAAGATATGTAGATATTAAAATGTGGAAACTCAATAAAAACATGATGAAGAGTCTATTTATGTATATATCCTATCAGAGATACACATATAAATCTTTATTAGAGAATAATTGCAAAAAAGATTAAGTTGATCCAGAATGATGAATAATTAAAAAATGTAAATGGACTTAGTAAATAAAAAAAAGTGGAGGGAGAATGACAAAAATCGCTAAATTTAAATCATATAGGTAAAGAAATTTATAAAGAATACAAAATAGTGCATAAGATATTATCAAAGAAATAGATGAAAGTAGAATTTAGATTTATCAAGTAATTGAAAACTCCTGATTTATTGATTAAGTTAAATCCTATTTTTGAATTTTGCTTAAATATAGCTCAATTAAAATATGAAGAGTAACATTTTTATTAAGCTGTGAAGTTATTAGATATAATTTATGTCATCAAATATCTTAAACCTTCATAGAAGCTTTATAATTAATATATTTATCAATTTAAAAAAAACCTCAGCATTTTGTTGTGTAGATAGTATGAATAATATATTAAATTTCTGGAATTACTTCTTGTTTAATTAGTTTTTGATTTAGGATTTGGGCATTTATTACCTTTAATCCTTTAAAAAGAGTGAAAGTCCCTTCTCAATTATAAAAAGAATGGATAAGCTTGCGATATCTTATAATTCAAATAGTATTTACTCTTTGCTACCAGACTTTCATTCTCTTAATGTGAAAATGACTTCTTATCTAGACAGTACGGTTTAAATCCACTTTCTAAAAAGATGATCCATTTTCACTTATTTCCTTGGACTTCTTCCCTTTTATTTGCTAATAATAATAAGATTATTAATTTATTTTATAAATTCAAGAAATCTAGTCTTAGTGAGTATATTGAATTTATATTCCAAGAATTCAATATACTTTCTTAAATTTAATTAATTCTTCATTAATTATTTTATATTATCATGTTAGAAAATATTCAATAAATAACAATTTATTATTAATATCAGCTTTAAATAATTGATTAAAATGTAAAATAATATTTCAAAACTATTCAACGATTTTGAATATTGGGGTTGGAGGACGAGATTATTTTATTCTAATTTCTGTTAAAGGGAGTCTTATTTTAACAGACTTCAAATCCAAATTTTTCCCAAAAAATTATTTTCTATCTTTAAATAGAATTAAAATAAATTCAAATGAAAAACAGTTGGGCTTCTAATAAGAGCATCTGCTAGCATTTCGATTTAAATTAAATTTAACAATATTCAAATATATATAATTAATACAAAAGATTTGAAATTCGTATCCTTATTTCAAATTCAAAATAATATTTTACATAATAATTGCAATAATTTTATATAGTTTCATTTTAACTTGTTTTTTATTTTGAATAATTTCAATTCTTTTGAAAAAATAGTTTTGAACTGTTTTAACTCATTTTTACAAAAGATGATATTAAAGTGAACAATTATCCTACATAAAAAACATATATTAATTTATTTAATTTATATGGGATATCAATTCTAGTTAAATCATTCATTTATTATAATCTTTAATTTACCTTATGTGGATAAAGGAAAAAAATAAATTTTAAACAATAAATATATTGTTCTAAAGTTAAATTTTTATTGAAATTCAAACATGTTTTCTTAAATGAGTTGCTAAATTCATTTCTCAAAAATATAACCCAAATATTTTAATAGTAATAAAGATAAATAAATCAAAAAACATATAAAAAAACCTAATTCTAATAATGCGGCAAAAATAAAAAATAATGTTATATTTTTTTGTTAAATTGAATATTCAAGGTTTCAATTAATTTTTACAAAAATCTAATTTTAATTTTTTAGAATACCTATTTTTATTTTTGTCCACTGATCATTAGGATTTAACTTTAATACTAATTCGTAATAAATCAGAGCTTCTTTGTACTTTAATTAATATTCTAAACAAAATCCTTAAAATTATAATAATAAATACCTTTGGATTTAAGAGATGATATATGTTGTGGATCAATTGATAGTGCCTAATCGAGTAATTTAATCGATTCATTATATTTTTTCATTTATCTTAAACATTCACCTATTAATTAAATTTCTATTAATCTACCTTTCCAGCATAAGGAATAGACATGCTTAGAATCAATAGCTAATGCTTTGTCCAACCAAGTGATAGCATCCTCATGTTTATTTAATCCTCTTAGACAATCACCTATTTATTTAATTAGAATAATCTACCTTTCCAGCATAAGGAATCAACATGCTTAGGATCAATAGCTAATGCTTTGTCTAAGAAAGTGATTGCCTCTTCAAATTAATTTAATCTTTTTAACTAATCTCCTATTAATATTCTTTATTGTTACCTTTACACCATAAAGATAAATGATCTTTCGGATCTTACTAGATTGACTTATCTAATATTTCTATAGCCTAATCATACTTACCATCCAAATATAATTAATAACCTAAGTTATTATAATTATATAATTACCTTAATTACAGCAATCTTTAGTTGTACTATTCTAATCATTAATTTAATAATAATTAATTGATGATAATTATAATTATTAATAGAAATTATAAAATGAATTATTTAAATTCTAAATCTATTCTGAAATATTTGCTATAATTTATTCTTTGTATTCAGTGAATTAAATGAATGAATTTAAGAAATCATTAATTTATTATGAATTCAAATATTTTAATCTTTCATTTTGTAATGAATATTTCTTTCTGATTCCACTTTATAATTAAGAAAATTATTAATTAACACTTTCTATTTTTGTAATAAGATTATCAATTAAATTATCACATTCTATATTTTAATTATCCATAAATTCTACAATACTGTTGATTTTTTCAACATCTCCTAAATGAGCATGATGGATTCCTTTCTTAATACATTAAAAGCAATTTAATCTGAATTCTTTACAATACTAATTGTAACAAATCATGT